ATATGCTTGTTGCCAGGGATTCAATCTCCCTCGAAAGTTGCATCAAAGATGTTTTCAGATTGGCCCCAGATTTGCGCGGCCGGGAATTGTTTTTATTTCCTAGCATTGGGAGGCTCAAATCCAGAGATAGTTGCGGCTAGGAAGAGCTAGCAGCAGTCTCGTGTGTGTCAGACATGGCCATGTGGGAATCACACGTTCGTTACCAGTCAACCTTACCCGAGCCATCCCAATATGGTTCACTGGCATGGCACCGATGCAGCCCCCTTCAGAGTGAGCTTTTCGATGCGATGTGGAAAGAGGTGACTGAAGCAGTGCCGCCGGCTCTCGGCTCTTATTGGTCCAACTTTCACCGCAGCTCGTACACCACGGTCAAGTATGTGTTGGTCGCAACCAAGCACCTTTGATAATTTTTTAGTGGTTGTGCACTGCATTTGTTTTTCTCTGCATCGCCAAAGAGAAAGGATCACTGAAAGGCTGAACAGGTGGGACTCTTGTAGGAGCAACGGCACCGAATGAAAGTAGAGAGTCATCTAGCAGTGTTTCTGTTGCGGCCTCATGTCAGGTCAATTCCGTCCTTGGCTCTTCGGCTGATGCTCTTCAAGCATAGCGACCTTGGTGAGTACGTCTTGGTGAAGGGGCTGCGCTCCATCGATTGCGTTGCTGACATGGTCCTGGACAATGGCATCGTCAAAAGCTCTTTGCAGATCAAGGCCGATGATGTGCCACAGTCAGGTGCAACTTGCTATGCGGAGCTTTCTTGCACCGTTGGTCAGCGCATGGATAAGATGTTGATGGTGCTGCGCACATCCGGCTTGTGGACCCCCTTTGAGATCGACATGTCAATGGGGTCATGGACATTACAGGCAGATGTCTTGATGCGCATTAACCGCAACAAGCTTCTCGCGCAATGGCTGCCAGCCGCGGGGAACATAGCTAGCAATGAGGACGAGGGCGCGCGACGTGTGCGTCGTCGATTGGCATAGACTTTCTGATTCTGACAGGTTTCAGTACCAAAGCATTGGATTGGGCCTGGGGCGAGCTCAAAAGACAGACCAGTGCATGCGTGACAGGCATTTGCTAGGGTGAATTATATGTATATTATGTTGTTATAAAAGGATGAAACCTGTGTCTCAAAGCAGTTCAAAGGGGTTTCCAAGTGTTCTAGGACCTACACTCCTGCAACCGATTCCTGCCGTCGTTCCCCAGAACTGCTCCGCAGGTTGGCGTTTCCTCGTAGTCAAACGGGGCCACTGCGTGGATCCAGGTGCTGTGGGAGGATGGATTCCCTTGACTGGCTGGTGAAAGATTGTCGAATGGTTGCACGGCACCCGAATATACCTAATAAAACCAGGGCACCTGAGAGCATGCAGCATCGATGGAATGGATATTTTTAGATGCAGGTTTGGAATCGCCTGGTGTTGCTTTGCATTGCGTCATCTTTTTCTAATATGATTTGCTAGGTTCTACATACTATACATATCAGAAGGTCATTTCGTCCCTCTATATTCTAGATAGCTAAGCAAGTGTGTGTCCCAACAAATATGGTTTATGGTGATGATAACTATGATTTACAATAAAGTTTGATCAACTTATCACCTGGTATTTTTGCTTACTCGATGATTTTGTAGTTTTCCCGATGGAAAATCAACTTTTTGGCGGAATCTTTTGCTTGGCTTCCCTTTTGGGTTACCTTAATCCGATCAATTATCTCATTGGCGGTTCGACTTATGAAGTACTCTTATATCGAGATTCTCCGGCTAAATTCGGTAAACATCCCTAAGGCCATCTAAATCCTCCGGTACATCTTCGTTTTCTTTAGTTTTTTTCCGCCCGAAAAGACCTTCCTCAAACAGGGCGGGGACGCTAAGGGCTAGCTCCACTCACGTGACTGTCGAGAGCGTTGCAGCTCCCGTCATCACTTCCAGCGCCACAACAGCGGCGCATAGCAAAGCCCAGGAGCGATTTTCTTTTTATCAAGTGTCACAACATAAATGGTAACCAAATACAGATGGTTTTCATGAGAGGGACTGAAGAAATGTTCTGATTTCTTGGACCGTCCCCAGCATATATACTCTATGAAAGACATACCGACATATAGTATCAACATAGCTGCATACATACATACAAACATGGACACACACACACATATATATATATATATACGTATATATATATATATATGTATGTATGTACTTTTCTACATGCCTTTGGACCGAAGTTCCAAACCGTTCCCTCGTAGGGGTCTGAAACTGGTCTGAAACTTCATCTCGGCCTTCATCGGTTACCAGCGCGCAGCAAAGGGCGAGCCAATCATGCTGGAGTCTTTTGTATGTTTTGGTCGTGTATATGTTGTTTTACGCTAATTTATCTAGGATTTTTGTTGAAAAGTTGTTTCAAGATTCGTATCGGGATTGAACTTGCAAAAAACATCTAAAACATTAAAGTTCCACCTTGGACCCAAACAGGTGTTTTGTGCAATACATGAATTTTTCCCAGAAAAACATGCATGAACATGTCTATACCGACACACATATTTCGGCAGCTTGTTTTTTCCCCTTGAATGCACGTTTTCAGGCTTTTCGCGCGCTCAAAGGGAATATATATATGCAACCAAAGCGAAAAACCTCGCTTCACACATGCATGCGTGCATGGAGACATACATACGTACGCACACATACATACAAAGGTAGATACATACATACATACATACATACATACATACATACATACATACATACATACATACATACATACATACATACATACATACATACATACATACATACATACATACGTCGCAATGGGGTACCCCGAAGTACTGTTCCAATTGGACCGAATTAAAAACGTGCGGTATCAACGTGGCTCCATGCATAGATAGAAGCATAGATCCATATATATATATATATACATAGGTACCTGCCTATATATCTACATACCTACGTTCCAAAGCAGAGCCTTCTGGGGGTCTGGTCTGAAAACCCATCTGAGCCTTCGAAAGTGATCGGTCTATATATAGTTCCCCCATGTTCTCATCTCCAAAACTCCCCTGGTAAACTAATAATAACTAATACAACCATGGAAATCCCTATTTTCTATAGCTAAAACCATCTACAAATGGGACATGTTCATACATTTTCCCATTTTCCCCTAGCCTTTTGTAAGTTTTCAGGCCCTTTTTTCGGCTTCCTCTCCACACCACCATGATGTTCATCGATACATTTGGTGCATGCTGGGATTGATGTCGTTCGGTGTATTGCCAATGGTGGCCTGCAGCAGATGCCTTCCCAGGAGTGACGCGCTCATCCTGACGGCCTGTGGCAGACATATTTCACTAGAAGTCCTTCAACCAGGTTGCCCTGTCGCTGACAATGGCTTTAGTCGCAAGCTTGCATGATCTGTGCACTGGAACAATCCCACAAATAGTTACTGGGCAGTTACTAGTACTGGCTAGGCAAAGATACGTAAAGCGTAAAGCACGTATCATCTATTATGGTAAATTGTGAATCATATCTGCTTGTAGGCTGCCATTACATTTTTTTAGGATCTTGTCGTGCTGCCACTTTGCGCTTATCAACCAACGTGAATGGACAGGATCCTCGAGGGACATCAACGTGCCGATCGTCCTGCAGTCCTGTCACACGGGGACCTCGCCTGCGCGAAATCGGTGCACTGGCGACCCTTCGAACGACGTTCGTCGAAACCCCTCCTGGGCTTCTTGGGAAATCCCGGTGAAATTCTCAGTGACTTACTGACTGGATCTAACTGGATGATTCCTATAGGGGTACAGTAACTATCCCATAATGGCAGCAGTGTTTTCAAGTTATATAGTGACTTATTATTAGAATTTATCCAGATCAACTCTAGCTTTTCGACTTAGTTTTAGCTTTCAATAGTTTTTTTGGTCTGAAACAGGTCTGAAACTCTTTGGAACCACCAGTGCCACCAGCGATTCGGACTAGGTTACATTAATGACTCATACCTGATCTCACTAATATTGATTAATACTCAGCTAAGCAAAATTCGCTTCTGTCCAAGATGAGCCGTAGATGAGCCGTATTCTAGCCGTATACAGCAGAAATGCTGAGTTCAATCAGTTCTAGGGCTTGACCAAGATGAGCCGTATACTAGCCGTATACAGCAGAAATGCTGAATTCAAGTTAGTTCTAGGGCTTGACCAAGACGAGCCGTACACTTGCCGTATATAGCAGAAATGCTGATTTGAAGGCAGTTCTAGAGCCTGACTGAGCCTGACCAAGATGAGCCGTATACTAGCCGTATATAGCAATTATGCTGAGTTCAAGTGAGTTCTAAGGCTTGACCAAGATGAACCGTATACCAAACTCGATTTTACCCGAATAATTTAATTGACATCTACCTGAAACCAATTACATCCGTACATGGAGCCATCATTGCGGCTCCAGGCACGGACGTAATTGGTTTCAAGTAGATTTCCTTTTCGTTTGTTGACAAAAGGAATCTCAAAGGTTCCAAACGGATGCTCTCCAAGTGCTGCTTCCTAAGGTTTCAGACTGGTTTCAAACTGATTTCAGATGGGCAAGCTAGTTTCAACTAGATTTTAAAATGAAATTTTGATGATGAGACTGATGGTAAGTGGAGGTAAGATAATGGCGCTCTGCCAGGAAAAGTTCATGCAAAAATCAAACCATCGATGGGCACCCGGGAGGCTCGCATGGGCCTGCAGTCGGAATCATGACCTGATTGATGGCCCCAAATAGTTTCAGACTGTTTCAGACCAAAAAAGCCAGGTAGAACCAAACAACAACTCTAGGGCAACCAGTGAATGAGTATAAGCCTCTGATAGTCACCTAAATGATTTGAATTTCAAGTTTGTTTGCTTACCAACGAAGCCAATGACAATAAATAATTTTGAAACCAAGATGATTTTTGCTAATTAAGGCTTCAGTTCAGGGGCCTTCCTGTGTTCAGGTTTCCACTGCAAACACAACTTCCTGTTTTTTTGGTCCCTTGGAGTAGCTCATATGCCAATGTGGGTGAGAGCCACGTTAGATCTTTCCCAGTTCATCTTCTCCACAGGCGGCGAGCTGCGGATTGACACTTTGATGCCGAAGTGGCAAAAGCACAAACAGCGGCTGCAGGGGCATGGACTTGTAATGAAAGCCTAGATAGATTTTTCCCACTAATAAGAAATGATATAAGCAGTACTGCTGAGTTGTAGTACTATTGGAATACTGGTCCGCGATTCGTATCGACTCGGTTCGTGCTCCGATTCGATTCGTCGCGATTCGATTCGAAACGGAATCCGGTTCACGTTTGAGTCGATTCTTGACGCATGTTGTTGGTTCGATTCAAAGCGGTTCTTTATTTGCCGGTTCCAGACCGGTTCAATTCCTTATATGCGGCGGTTTAGATTCCTGATTCGATTTAGTACCTTCCTGATATATATATATATATGTAATATAACCATATACAACCAACAATTAATGGGATGGTATATGGTATATTTGGTACAACCACCAACCAGTTATAGTTGGATAGTTGGTAACTAAGATAGGATGGTATAGTTGACGTTAGTTACCAGTTGAAGATCTTCCACTATGGGATGAAATGACATAGGATGGGGTTGATCGAAACTTGGGACCAACGGAACACCAAGCCTTTCAGAAAGGATTAGCCAACACAACTCGACTTACCAAGCCTTTTTGGGCAGTGATATCTGCCATATCTGCCGCAAAAAAAAGTTTTCAACCCAGACATGAAACCACCCAGGTTTAGACATCGGGATCCCCACGAGATTTCTCTAAAATCGGGATCCGAAGGATTTGTTGCAGCCGGAACATTTCCGGAACATTTTGGGAATGGTTTTTGAAGGATTATATATAATGGTTATTGATGGTTATAAATGGTTAATATAATCTATAATCAACTATTTTGAATAGGTAAATCAACTATAATCATAACTGGTTGGTGGTTTGGAACCATGGAATTTTATGACTTTCAATATATTGGGAATTTCATCATCCCAATTGACGAACTCCATCATTTTTCAAGATGGTTAAGTCACCACCAACCAGTAATGCATGGCTTTCATTTCTTTTCGGGATCCCCCATGAACTGAACAATGGCAATTCGAATCGAAAAAAGTGATGATTCACCAATGGATTTACCAGAACTTCAGAGAAACCCCTTTGTGCCATGGTCAAAACATGGATTGTCTGTCCACATTTTTTGGGACATTGGGGGTGGCCATCAATCTTTTTAGGGCTGTGTAGCTAGCAGCTAGCAGTTGTAATTCCCATTACCAACTTGACCATGGCACCTTCATAGGTTTAAGCCCATGAATTGTTGATCCTTAAATCTCCCCATCTTCCCATGAATTGTGACATTAGTCCATGATAATCCCATTGTTCATATTGTTCCCTCTCATGTATCCATTCTAATATGGGTTTTACATCCATGATATTCCCATTATCCAACCATAGTAAGACCTATTATTCTTATTGTTTAATATATATATATGTATATATATTCCATTGCACCCCCACTATAATATAATTATTATCGTTGCGAGACTACACCACATACCCATTATATTCCCATTAAACCCCTATTAAACCATTATATTTCCCTTATTTTCCCATTGTATCACTATCAAAACCTATTATCGTTGGTTAAATCCTCCATAAATCAATGACAATCCGTCAACGCAACAGGAATACCGCGAGCGTTTGCGCCGACGACGCAGCGCGCATGAAGAGAACTGGGCCGCAACCCGGCGGAGAACAGGTCACATTCATCCCAAAGCCACACAACAAAAACCAACCAACATTATGTCCTGGTTTACCACATATAAACATCCTGTACCATATAAGGCCGTATTTTGCTAGGGATATCCCCTTACATAGGCCTTACATAGACCTTATATATGGTAGGTACCTCCAATTCAGGTTCCTGAAATGGCCACTGATTGGTGGTTATTTGTTACATAGCTATGGAAAATGAGCCATAGAAATAGATGATGTACCATGGGATGATAGATGGTATACCAATAGAATGGGATGTTTACCACCTATAAATGGGATATATACATGGGATCATCATGGGATGATATTTCATGGGATAATACATGGGATGATCATGGTAGTATATACTGGCTGGTGGTTTCAAACATGACTTTTATTTTCCCCAATAGTTGGGATGATGATCCAATCTGACTTTCATATTTTTCAGGGGGGTTGAAACCACCAACCAGTGTCACGATTTCATCATTTCTTTTCCAATATCAACCCAAAATTAATAGAGATTCAATCCAAAAATCCATCCAAACATCAACAAAACCCCAAAATCCATGAGATGTTTTTATAATATGTCACATATACATGGGATATCAAAACTATAGATTTTACATAAAACAAGTCCCAAAACCCATCCAAGTCCATCTTTCCAGGCCTGGCAAACAGGCCGCCGGCGCCTGGATGCGAAGGTCTTCGTGTCCCGGGCGCAGCACCTTGGTAGCGCCGTTTTATTCGAACGGGATGGGGCCCCCGGTATCGAACGCCGATCTGGTAAACATACAACAAACGATGGAAAGATCCACCATTTTTAATGGGTAAATCAGGGTAAATCCACAATTTCGACTGGGCCATTTTCAATAGCTATGTTAGTTTACCAGAGGGTAAGTTGAGATACTAGTGGCTTAAACTATGGTTTATGTTAGATATAACTAATTTTCATTGCATACTAATGAATGGAATACTAAGTAATGAGGAATAGGAATTACTATGATAATGTCTATTGCAATTAATGAGGATTAGTAATCACAATATTGGAGTACTATGATCCATATGATATGGAATTTCAATTTTCTGGAATTGTGGAACTAGAAATTCATGGATTGTAGTTGACATAACTAATGAATTATAAGAAATATAGTATAGTAATAATGAGTAATGGACATTCCTCATAGTAACGGATTTTGGTGAATAATGCTAATATTAGTAATAACGCTCAGCGCATATAATGGTAATAGGAATATGGATACATCCAGAGACGGGGAAAGACGTTCAGGATTTGATGTCAACCCCGGATGAATAAACCCCAAACGGCTGTTAAAAAAAGGGTGGGTACCATTTCAGTAGCCATAAAAAGCACTATTTGCGGTTCATTCATCAGGGGTTGACATCAATGAATAATGTTGATGAATAAGATAAATGATATGATAAATGTATCAAATGACCCTCCGGTATCATCATGGTTTGCTCGCAAAATCCACAAAATCCACAGCCAGGATTTTCCAGCCATGTCAGCCCAGTCCCTGCCCATGTGGGATGAAGCCAGGTTTCTGAAAGATCCTGGCCGGCATCAACTTGGGGCCTTCCATGTCTACCAGGCTTGCTGGGGGCGGCTGCTACAACGGAGAGCCGGGATGCACCCAAGTACCGGGCCTGGTAAACATACAAAAAACGATGGAAAGATCCACCATGTTTAATGGGTAAATCCACTAGCCATTTTCGATAGCAGACTGTTAGTTTACCAGAGGGTACCCAAATGATATCATATTGCTAGGAAAAATCGCATGAAATCCCAAGTCAACATCAAATCCCCTGCAATAGTCTTTGGGTTCCCCGTGGTGTCGCAGGAGCTGTCAGTGGTCACTGCCGCTCTGCAACAGGAGAGGAGGAGAAGGTGCAGGAAACCTGGCCTGGGAAAAGCAACAGATGGGTAGCCCGCTAATACCACCGGGATATCGTAATCAGCATTCTCTTTATAGCTATAATATGTTATAGTAAGTATACTATATATATATGATATACTATATATACTTAACTATGATATTAATAGGTATACTATAATGTTACTATATATGTATTGTATAAGATACCAGTGGGTCTACAATAGGATTAATGGTGATATCCCGGTGATGTTCCCTCAACAGTATTAACTAGTAATAGTATGTATGATATGATACTACGTTACTACATCCCCATTAATACTGAGGCTGCAAGTGGGAATCGGATGGATGAATTGATGACTCTTTTATGGAACGGTTCGTTTTGAAAAACCATGGTCTTAGATCTCCCATGGTCTGTTATTCTTATTGTAATGTTATATTAGTATATGTATGATGAAATATACTGATTGACATATTGAGATATTACATGATATTACTATGTTTGTTATTATTATTACTTATGATATTTCTTCTTCTTCTTCTTATTCTTATGTTTCTTCTTCTTCTTATTATCATTATGATTGTTATTATATACCCTCTGGTAAATTAACATAGACACTGAAAAAAACAACAATCTTTAGTGGAAACTAATCTTCCAAATCCTATCTGCCAGGGTCGTCATGTTCATTTACTGGAGGCTAATTTATTTGTGATGATTTTCTTCCTGCCATTGGTTCTCCCCATGTTCTCCGCCAGGTGCAACGAACTGGTGGAGTTCTTACCCGTGAAGTCGAAACCCACCAGGGGCATCAACGACGTTGCGGGGTGATTTTTGACCAAGAAAATATGGCTGATTCAACCATTTTATCATGGAAAATATCGAGGATTTAACCATTTTATTGTGGTAGATATAACTATAGTTAACGGGGTTCATGATGGTTTATAAACCAACATATATATATACATATATATATATACATGCATATATACATATATACATATACATATATACATATATACATATACATATACATGTATATATACATATATACATATATATATAGGGGTTTCCATAGTCATGGGGATACCCAAAAGTCCGCTGGATGGTTTATTTCATGGAAAGTCCATCGTTTTTCGAACTGGGGGTAGGCCTTCACCATGGGACCGGATCATTTGGATGGGATCATTGAACACGTTTTTTGTTGGTGCTTTGGAACCATGGAATTTTATGACAAACCCAATCCCAACCAGAACCCGTGTCCCGAATCATCAACCCGTAGGGAAACTTTTACCAGTCAATATATTGGGAATTTCATCATCCCAACTGACTATATAATATTTTTAAGAGGGGTTGAAACCACCAACTAGTATAGGTCAACCACCAGCGTATCATCATGATAACAGGGTGGTGGGTGGTTGGGGAGATCATTTGTCAGGATGGGACATATCATTGGAATATACTGTGCGAAAAGAAGTGGGTATATAAGGTATATAGTGGAATATCATGAATGGGATATGTTTTTGAGGTCAACAGGTGCCGATTTTTTCAGGGTGCTGTAAGAAAGTCAAACCAGATCCGGTTGAAAGGGTCAATGAAATAACCATGACCATACCCACATAATGTTTGCACCATAATCGGATGGGAACACATACAGGAAAGCCTCATTTCTAAATAGGAAAACATCGGTTCCTGTGATACTTTCCCAGCAAATTGGCTACCTATAAGACTAGAGTTGGATGTTTTAATGACTTTTTGGCAGGGTTTTGGTTGCCATTTTTGGTTGCCATGTTTTTGATGGTGATATGCCGCCTGGATGTTTTCCGACATCATCCCTGAGGTGGCTACACATGGGTTCTGGACAAGATGTACTGAGTCTAGGCGGCACGGATGTTGAGAGATCCCCAGGACGTTAGGATAAAATTAGTGATTTAATGGGATATTAATGGGATGTACCCTCTGGCAAACATACAAAAAGCGACATAGAAAATGGCCCAGTCGAAATAGTGGATTTACCCATCAAAAATGGTGGATCTTTCCATAGTTTGTTGTTTACCAGAGGGTACCAACTCTGCAGTGATTTCGTCGTTAGAATCACCGCAGCCATGATGTTTATCGGCTGGTCGCGAGGAGAAAGGGCTGATTTCGGGATCCCTTCTTTTGAAATGCGAGACGAAAAACTCTAGTTTCTGCTTCATCAAAGCAAAAACACGCGAAGTTGAGGTATTTTTCCAGGTTCATTCATCTTCATCATTTTCCAGGTTCACTGATCATCACTGATCAAGACTTTTCCACAGGATGACCAGCGAACTGCCAAGGCTGCCAAGTGGTTGATCCCATCGCCGACCAATCCCCACTGCAGATGGTTTGTCATTTTGGAAAGGGAGGGACAAATCAAGAGAAATCAAAAGAAATGTTCATGTAAATGGATGGTCAATAAGTTAGATATTGGGATAATCATAGGTAAATGTGTAAAACATGTTTTATCCCATATGATCTTGTCTAACACTAAGATAGACCATAAGCCTTGTGCAGGCATGAATGACCCCCTTGACCCATGCCCTTTTGGAGGGCACATTTCCATTGAAGCAGCTGGGAGTTTGAGAACCACCAGCTGAACCATTAAAGATACCATCCCATCTCATTGTAGTTGGTGGATAGATTCCCCCAACATGGGTTATGGTGAGTTATAATTTGCAACAACCAGGTAATACTATCCAACAGATTGGGGATACCCTCTGGTTATGTCAAAATAGCTATTGAAAATGGCCATGTATAGTGAGTTTTCCCATTAAACATGGTGATTTTCCATACTTATGTAAACGTTTACCAGAGGGTAATCACAATTCATTCTGGGAATTCCGTTCTTAACCAGCCAGTATTTAGGGGGATGACATTTCAGCTTTTGAGCGCTGCTCAAATGGTTTCACAGATGAAATCCGTTTTTCTTTAAGGATGAAAAGGGAAAGTCACCAAGAGGAATGGATGAGTAATGGATAATTGGAATACCCTTTGGTCATCATCATCCATTGCTCTTGGTAGAATTGGATGACCTGATAATATTGAGAATTGGATGAAGAATGGAGAGTTGAATCATTATTAACCACAGATTTCATACCATTTCAGGTCATCATCCTTTGATCGCTTCCATGATGCCCGCTCCTGTCGGCGAGGCCAAGTGCAGACCTTCCAACGCAGCGGCGTGCTGCAGGTTGCTGCAGAAACATCGCAGGGGTTGCGGAAGGAGTTTCGTACGGTTTTTAAAGCTTAAGCCTATGACATAGCTGCGGAAGCTCCCCTATAATATATATATATATACGTATGTATATGTGTATACATATATGTGTATATATATATATATATGTATGGGCGTGTCCCAGCAGGTCTGTTTTTCTGCGCCAGGAAGATGAGCTACACCACCTGGAAGCGGCCTTGATGCTGCTGGCGGGGACGGTTTAATTTACGGAACCGAGTTATTGGAGGTACCTACCAGATATAAGGCCAAAAAATAATAGGCCCATTTTTTTGGGGAATCTCCCATTGAAAGTTTAGTCAATTTATCACTGCAGTTGGTTGGTTTTAGTGATTCTTGCCCCAAATTGAGATGCCGTCGAATATTAAAAGAAGTGTGTAAAATGCCCCTGAATTTGAAAAAAACACCGATTGCTGAGTAAACCTTGGCACAGTGCGGTTGGAGGGTAGCCATCATTGGGAGGCCGTAGCCATACAGATAGCTTCGATCATCAATTCTAGATTAATGGGAGCCTATTTCCCGTAGAAAACCTGGCTATTATCTCTATTTCCCATATATTGGCCCCCAAATCTCTATAGCTTAAACTCAATCATCCTTAGTTCGCCAGGAAAGCCCCATTTTTTCCCGATGAAAAACATGCTGAAACCACGCTGGCATCGCAGATGCGTCTGATTTCAGCGCTGGCGTCCTATTTGGTGCGCTGCCCGGTCGGTGGTTAATTGATGGTTGACAACAGCGGTTAACTGAACCATAGTACTGGTAGGTGAATGGACTCAACTGTTAGCGGTGAAGATCGTGGTGAACATCGTGGTTATCTCATCAATCCCATCCAAATATGAATAGCAACCCCATTTTTTCATATTTTTTCATGGTAAAGAGTAGGGGATGACGGGGATGACATCACATATGACTGGGACCATAGAATCTTATGGGTGTGTAACTAATATGAACGGGGAATGGGATAGTCAAATTTGCTCCGGGTCAACAGCATCACCTGAAATGCGGAGTAAATAAAGGTACTTGACGACCCAAAAAGGAGTTTACATGGGAAATATGCGGAACTCTGACTCTTGTATGGATTTCTTTCATATGGATATCCACTGATACACCTGATATGGCTGTCAGTTTGAATTTCCAAGTTTGATCTTGTGCGATACTCAACTTGTTGTATTTTGCATGACATACAGATAGAATATGAGGCGGATGAATTTGAAACCACTTCCCTGGTTGTTTCAAAGAGATAAGTAGATATAGTGCTAAGATAGGATGTCTTTGAGCATCAAATGTTTCTATGTAAATCTTGTTGACTTGTAGGTAAGTAGCTCGATATTTTGCAATTTTATAGCGGATGTCAAATCCTGCTATCCATCGACTTGTTCTTACAAGGTATCTTTCGGGTTTGCCATATGAAATCTATGCCTCCTTTGGTGTTTTATCATGTTTTATCTATGTCCATCATGACGCCATTCCCAAGCTTGGATCATGGCGGAAATCATGGGAAAATACCTATCGACGTTGGAGTGATGTGAAAAAAATACGGATTACCGTTATTATAGTAATTCTTTGATTACTTTACCAAGATACTATAGGATCACATCATTTCCATATGGACGGTATCATTCCCAAGCCCCGGTAATGAAAAGGTAATCCCTCCAAAATTGGACCTGTCGATTTCCGCCCAGGATGTGACGTTGCCCTTCCCATGCAGCGGTGGCCGAGGATTACGTGAGGCGGGCGGATCTGAACATGGGGGATCCCCATATATTCGGTTAACATTTTGGGGATCATCAATATACCATACCTTAGTATAATGGTGAAACAATAAGGTATGGTAACTATGGTATATTGATGTACCCTCTGGTTATTTGTTACACTTCGCCATGGAAGCCAGGGTCCATAGAAATAGATGGTTTACCGTTCTGAAAAATGGTGGATCTTCCCATGGCGAACTGTGAATGTCATAACCAGAGGGTAAGTCATGGTCAAATGACTTCGATGACTTGGGGGGGAAATTTCCGTATGGGGATGGGGACCTTCAAAAATCTTCAAAATACATTCTGATAATTTAACATAGCCACTTTTCACATTTTGGGAGAGAAATTTTATGAAATTTTGCCACATCGTGATTTTACCCATGTTGAATGGTGATGTACAGATTGTTTACCCAATCATGGCCCATATTTACACATGAAACACACGTTTTTTTTTCGCCAGCATGACGATTCTTTGGGCCAAACATGGGGGAGACTATGGCTAAAAAAAGCAGATATAGATCTTCCAGCCAGGCTATATCTATCAGCCTGGAAATTAATATGTATATATATATATAATGTCAACCCTGGATTAATAAACCCCAAACGGCTGTTTAATTGGGAGGGTACCATTTAAGTATCAGATAATGACTATTGGAGGAGTACCCGGAGTACCCCCCCAATTAATAAACCATGGTTTATTAATCCGGGGTTGACATTATATATATGTGGGAAAGCCATGGGAAACAGCCAGAGACATCTAGATATTTGTAGGCCATGGTTATCATGTGCAGATCATTTGCAGATCATGTTCCGAGCAGGGAGCAATCCTTTGGTGAGTTCACCCCATGTTCAGTTGGGAGATGTTAAACTGGCGACCCCAAGAAATGTCAAGAAAACCTCCATGAACTATCGACTATATAGATATGATACATATATATATATATATCTCTACAAACCGAATAGTTAAGCCGAAACCAACGAATAGTTATCATAAACCAACTAGAACTCAGAACGTCATAATAAAAATCCCAATTTTCCTGCTCAAATCTTGCTCAAAGCACATTGAATCCTCATTTATTTGTCAAATCGACATGGGCTTTGTCAAAGGTCTCCTCAGCCGTGGAAGCGGCGACGGCCGTCACGGGGCTTCAGTGGAGATCAGTGGAGATTGGAGTGGTGGAACAGGCGATTCGAGCCATAGATCTATAGATAGTAATGACTATAGTGAGCCATAGATTGATATGATGGCTCTATAGTGACTTATATGTATATGTATATGGTGATATAATGGATAAGTCACTATAGATATCCATTATATCACCATATACATATATATATATAGATATACATGGGAATATCTATGGGAATATCTACAATAGATTTAATGATCTATTATACATGGTGATATTAACCTATAGGTGATCTCTCTGAATAATGGTGGTATATAGATAATCATGATTATAGTGCTGTCTAATATGATTATATATAAAATATCTATTATATCAACATAGATAGTAAGGATCCATTATATCATCATTATCATTGGAATATCATGGGAATATCATTGGTAAACATGGGTAAATACGTCTTGATGAATTCTAACGGGATATTGATTGTGTTATTCATGCTTACGATTGGTTTTAGGGATTTAATATCCCATTATAAACACAAGATTAATTGTTTTAGGGATTTATCTGATAATCATCTGATAAACATCTGATAATCTGATATTGTTTTAGGGATTTAATTGATATAAGATCTGATGATCTCTGGATGAACTACACAAAATCCTGGTTCATGATGGGAATGTGTCTAAGGGGAACGAACATCCCCTAAATGGTGATGTATCTACCCTCCAAACTAACATGGCTATTGAAAATAGCCCATTTACCAATCGGTGATTGCCATTTTTAGGTGGTCAACCAGCGCAACAAAAATTGGTTAAACCACCAGTTTATGGTCAAATCCCTCCTTGTTGATGGTGGGAAACCATATTTTTTTTCGTGGTTTGGTTGTTTTTTATCCAATTCTATTGATAGTTTCTTTATATATATATATACACACATTTTTTGCTTGTTTTTCTTAACATTTATTGGTTCAGTACATGTTAAAGCCACAAAATTTGTCGTTGATGGAAGCTCAATTGTCAATTGACTGTAGATTGATGAGTCATTGATCGGTTCATTGATGGTTTTTCACCATTTTTGGTCAACATATTTCATGGTTTTCTTAACCAATAACATGGGGATATCATTGGGATATATTTCGATATAATGGGATATAACTTAACAACTTGATTTTTCAGGAATTTCAAAGATTTTGATTCAACTCTGGTCTGTTTTTCAAAATGGGGCGCCCCTAGATCAAGTGGTTCATCATCATCCCATTGACTAATTGCCATGGCATCCAGAGTGTCCGCTGTTTTTGGACAAATCCAAGTATCATATCAAGCTGTTAAGTTGAGGCATTGTATCCCATTATATCCCAATGATATCCATGTTATTGGTTAAATTCCGATTCATTGATATATATATATATATGTATATATATATATAATAATAGCAATTATATTCCATTAATTTCCCATGATACTGAATTTCCTTAATCATTCCCAACTATATCTCGTTAATTTCCCATCATGTCCTGTTATATCCCAATTGCATCCCAATTATATCCCAATAATATGCCAATTATACCCCAATTATACCCCATAGATTTATTGATGGTCATACAACATATGTGTATAAGTTTGGTACCAATGATGTCCCATCATATTCCCGTGATATGGCATGCCCAATTATATTTTTCATTGAATTCCCACTCATTGATGTATATACAGTATATTCTTAATGACACATATATCCGACTACATTCCCTTATAATTTCCCAATTATATTCCCATAAACTCATTGGTGGCGATAGAATATCCCAATGAAATATCCATGATATGCCAATGATATCCCCATGTTCTTGGCTCACTGGGAATGATGGCTAGTAGAGGTGACTATCCCCAAATGACCTTATTTCAGGTTAGTGAATTATTGTAATTTTCCCATATATATATATATATATACATACATACTTTAATAACAATGATTTTCCCATTTTCTTTCCCATTATGTTAGAATGTCCCTTAGAAATTCCCAATGATATCCCATAAAAAGACAGTTCCCATTCATTGATGGCATTTTTCACTTTTTTCAACCATGGAATTACACCGTTCCCATCCTGGACCAGCTAGGCTTCAGGCGTGCGCGAACGACATCGGAGGAGAATTTCCAACGATGGGTCATGAAAGGAGCTGGTTAAGTGATAGAAGATATCCATGGTATGTATGGCATATATCTGACATGGTAGATTCTATGGTATATTATATATATATGCATATTCTATGATATGACAGAGTTAAACCTAATTGTATGCTATATTTTGATGGTTTTTACTGAGGTTTTACCATTTTACAGTAGATACAGACCACCAATTTACCATCCTCATCCAACGATCTATCTACTCCAAAGAATTGGGAGATTTGGGAGATGTGATGACGTGAGGATGTCCCAATGATTTACGTAATTTATCCAAGATATCCATTTATTGAGGATAGTAATTTACCTCAAAGATCATCCAGAATGATTAAGATATGTAATATCTATCAACTGGATGTCCATGATATTCCCATGATATTCCCATAATTTACATATCATATTGAGGATAATAATCATAGTGAGGATGATACTCATAGTGAGGATGCACATCCTCAAAACTCACTATGAGTTAGGTCCTCAGAGATGTCTTCACCAGGCTCTTGAGAGTCTTGACATCGATTTTTTTTGAACAGTGGGATATTTTTCATTCATCGAACCACAGGTTTCATATGGTAAAACCACAACTAACATAGGATATTTCTGCAGAAATGGGCATTCAATCACCTATGATTTGGGCGGTCAAGGATCGAAGGCCCCCCAACCTACCGGTTCTGGTCATTGTGAGTATCGACCGTCCATGTGTTTCAGGATTTTGCGACCGTCGACCTCGGGGAATTCAACAGTTTGCGAACTGGAGAATGGCACATTTGTAGATGATTTACCTGTTACACATGGTGATTTTCCAGTATTTTCCAGTTCGCTATGTTAAATTTACCAGAGGGTATCATTTCGAAAATCCCAACGGCCTCCAAATGCCGCGGTGAGCAAAGTGGCTCTTGAAACCTCCGACGCATGAACACCTCGAGAATTCGATTTTGTTTCGGACCCTGTTGATTTAAAACCTATGAGCCACATCAATCTTCAGAATGACCCGTTGACTTTCATTTCGGACATTTTCATGATTGGCCAGAACCTTGAGACCATATTGAAACCATTTGAACTACTCCCATTGGGCATGCGGATTTCATCCTGAGCACCAGGAGCTCGACGAAAGGCACCGCGGTTTTTTTTTAATGCCCATCGAAAACAGCCATGGTTTCCCATTCTCCAAAATTACATAATTAAAGGGTGGCTTCTCCAATGATTGTTGATTGTTCTATGATCCACGAAAAAAACATGGGTGACTTTGATTCAAATAATTTTCAATGGAAGATAAACTCTCCCATTTTGCAGTACCCAATGTCTTGATCTGCAGCCTTTAAGTTATGTTTTTCACCGCCTGTGGAAAGCATGGTGACGATAGGAACCATTTCCACGGGTCCCATGTATACCTGCGTCTTGAATGTTGACTATTAACAAACTATCCTCAACAGAATAGTGGTTCTGTTCCAGCTGTTCGGCGTTTTTCGTATTTCACATGACTTACCCCCAATTTTTTGTTGGCTAAATAATAATAACGATTTCATCCCATTTTCGCTCACTAAATACCCATTTCATTCACTTTCTATTGCTAACAAAAGCCAATCCCATCCATTTTAGTATTGAAACCCATGGTGACGACTGGGGTACCCCCACGACTTACTGTGGATGGTGACTGGGGTACCCCCATGGATTTCTTCCACAATAGGAAACCTCTATATGGGGGTTTCCATGAGGGTCCCCCATTTATCCATTTAAAATCATTGATGGATTTTCCCTAACAAAAACCAGCATTTTTTGGGTACCCTCATGGCCATATATATATATATATCATATTCCCATGATATCCCATAATTTCCTGATGTTATTCCTATTACGAACCTATATTTTCATCTCTATGATATTTCCCATGGATATTCCACATTTCCATGTCTATGATATCCTGATATTATGTATATGATACCATCTGGTTATTTAACATAGCTATGGAAAGATCCACCATTTTTAATAGGTAAACCATCTATAAATGGGCCAATTTCCATGGTTATGTAACAAATTACCAGAGGGTAGTTATACTATAGTTAATGGATTTTGTATATGATAAATAATAACACATAATATGGAATATTATATATCCTAGCTGATAATATCCACATGATTCCTATATGTTCCGTTAAATAACCAGAGGCTATTCCACATTATTTCATGGTGTTTACCCCTATATTTCATGGTAAAAACACTGGTTTCCAGTGAAGATTTTCCCAACAAAACCAATCCATTGATATAGTTGGTAGATGGTTTATCCCATGATAATCCCATTACAAAACCCATGGTATAGATGGCCCATTGATAGATGGTTTACCTATTAAAAATGGTGGTTTTTCCCAGGCCTGGCCTATTTAGCCCGTCCCCGTGCGCCCGCGGGTGCCCCGCAATGGGTGCTTCCCTGCGTGCAGTCGGGGGGCCTCATGGAGTCCAGTCGGTTAGAAACCGAAACCGGGGAGATAGGTTTTTTCACCATGAAACATATGGAATATATTCAATGGGAATTCCAGGATCCTAAAATGGAGGTACTGTACCATATAAGGTCATATTTTCTAGGGATATTCCCTTACATAGGCCTGAAAAATAGGCCTTATATATGGTAGGTACCTCCATTTTAGGATCCTGAAATGGCCATTGATATATGGAATATCCATGGTTTATTCATGGTGAAACCATCAAGGGTGACTGGAAACCACTGGTTTTTACCATGAAATATAAGGGTAAACACCATGAAATAATGTGGAATAGCCTCTGGTTATTTAACATATAGGAATCATGTGAAAAAATCCTGGTTTATATCTACCATAAACATCCATAAACCATAGTTTAACCTCCATTTATGGTTGGGGTTTTCCATGGCTATGTGAAATAACCAGATGGTATGTGGAATAACCATGGTTTATTCATGGTGACACCATCAATAAACTTGAATATTCATGGTTAATTCTAACCATGTTTTTTTTTGTTTCATCTATTTGAGATTAAACATGTTTTGATATTCCATTCAATAGTGACTATTCCATTAAGAATATTTAAACACTGTGAAACATCTTAATCACCATAACATCTGAACATAGGAACTGACTTAATCTATTCAAACCATCAACTATTTGAGATTAAGCCTACTTCCCACTAACAAAACCAGGGATATAGAACTTACGATTCATGGGATGAGCCACCAACAAACCACCAAGTTTATACTTTCCAAGATTCCAACACATACATAAATGTCTTTTTTATATTTTGTATATTGTCAGATTTAACTGGATATACATACATACATACATACATACATACATACATACATACATACATACATACATACATACATACATACATACATACATACATACATACATACATACATACATACATACATACATACATACATACAACATACATACATACATACATACATACATACATACATACATACATACATACATACATACATACATACATACATACATACATACATACATACATACATACATACATACATACATACATACATACATACATACATACATACATAGATACATACATACATACATACATACATACGTACCCTCCTGTAAACTAACATAACTATGGAAAATTGCCATTTATAGTGGATTTACCCATTAAAAACGGTGATTTTCCATAGTTATCTTAGTTTACCGGAGGGTAGATCCTGGATCAGCACGCTTTGCCACGCCTTCGCCGCCCAAGGAATCCGTTCACCCGGCAGTGGCACCATTTCGGCGTTCTCCCGGCGCGTTGGAAGTTTGTTGATTTAGCCCCATTCACATCCATGAACTATAGTTACCCATATCAATTGAATAAACTACAGATATAACATCCATTAACTATAGTATAACTATAGTACAACTATAGTATAACTATAGTATAGCTATGGTATAACTATAGTATAACTATAGTATAACTATAGTATAACTATAGTATAACTATAGTCTGACTAAGTTGCTTTATAACCCAAACGTTCTTTCCCGGACACCGAAACGTTCAACCTATAAGATCTATATAAGATCTATAGTATCTATATAAAAATACAAGTTTTGAGTTTTGTTTCTGGGGAAAAATCTAAAACTTTGTGGGACTAAGGCGTCACCATTTGAAAATGCCAGGTTTACGACAAGATTTGCACTTCTGAATTTGTGCCTCAGCTGCACTTCTCGCAGACATCAATCAACATTCATGACAGGAAATGCTTGAAATCACGGTGAGTGACAAATGCATACAAATGCAACAAGACCCAGGCAAGATCAAGATTTAGAGTGTTCGCAGTTTGTGAAAAGCAGGCGCCGAAGCAAAAACAGCAGACAGAAACTTGGAAACCGCGGTTTCACACGTCCTTTCCGTCCCATGTCAGACAAATAAAGAAAACACATACACATCATTTGACATAAGCACATAGAATAAATTCGAATAGATAAAGAGAATAGATAAATCAATTGCTTAGCAGATGAATACATACTGAAAGAAATTAACACATAAATTGATCAATAGATATATATATATGTATATATAAGTGACATATATATATACATACATACATACATACATACATACATACATACATACATACATACATACATACATACATACATACATACATACATACATACATACATACATACATACATACATACATACATATATACATATAAGTGACAAAATGTATATATGGATGTGTATATATATATATGATATAATATGAAGACCAGTTGCTTTGGCACAGTTCGTTGGATTACCGAGGCGGCAGTACTTCGATTAGTGGATCAGGCAGGGGAAACTTTTTGGGGAATCCACGGGGAACTCCGTTGCCAGTCACTCGGTAATATAGTGATAATATAGTGATAATATATGTATATATATATATACTATATCCATTTGGTTGGTGGTTAGGAACATGAATTTTATTTTTCCATATATGGTGTATATCTGGATCTTTGGAAACAGACTCCGGAACCAAGAACAGACTCCGACCTAAACCCAATTTAGATGTCAGTCTTCAAGCTGCTGGCAACACCCAACATACAAGTGAAGCTTTCAGGTTTTGAGCATCTCGGAGGAAACCCTTGTGTTTTTGCTGTTTGTTTTATCATTGTTTCATCGGTGCGCCGATGGTTCTTGGTCAGCTTGGTTGTTGCTTTGTTTCCCCATCAGGCAAGCGAATGGACTAATCACATCTTCAGCAGCCTTGGAAGGGGGTAAGCCAAATATGAAAGGAGGCATGTTGTTGGTGCTGCATATGCCAGGACAAAATCATTTTGTGTATCGTGACTTCCATGACGCAGGGTTTGGTCTGCAGCACCTGGTCTGCTGGCCTAAAGCATTTGGTCTGCCAGCCATTTTTTGCATTTGCAACCTGGGTACTCTGCCTACGCCCTGCTTGTGCTGAAGGCCTGCACCATCGGAATTTCTATTCTGGCACCGGCCCAAGTCCGATGACCAATAATCATTGGAGGAGATAGGCTTGCGCTGTGCTTGTCATTCTGCGAGATAGCGAGTTGTTATTTTTTTGCACTGTTGGGCAATCATCTCCTCCCATGCCCTTGTCGAAGTCATCGCTCTCAAATTGAGCAACTGGCTGCCTTTACCATAACTACCGCAAACCTTTGAGATGTCTTGTTTAGAGAGGCATGGTTAACTTCATACATCGTTGTGCAACTTATCATCATGAACTATAGTTTCTATCCAAGTTGCCCCGCGTTGCTGATGGCAAAACCCGCATACTCGCAATTCCTACATTCAATGCATTTGAGTTTTGACGCGCGCGGCAGGTCGTGGGCGGATGTGGCAGAAGCCTGGCAGCAGCCAAGGCACATTGAGTTTGAATCCTTCTTCCCGCAGCGTGTTTTCTCCCTGGCTTGTTTTGCCATCTTTTGCAACCAGTTTCGTTAAAGCATGGTGACAATCATCCGGAGGTTTCAATAGACGGCACGTTTGCAATACAGTTGGCGTCAAAAAGACAGAAACCATAGGGAGCCTACAGCCAAGTTCACAGTCACACCAGGTCATGCCATGTCAGCCTCAATGCCTTCGTCCAAGGCTATATCCATGGAAGGCTTGGTGATACAGGGGCTTTTGGACACATTAGGTGTGCTTGGTGGGTTGCCAGCTTCTCATTGCATGAGCTTGTGAGCACCTTTTTGCGTTTGCAATCGCCATACTCAGCGGCAAGCGGCAAGCCGGTGGATGGGTCCATTCATTGCTGACTTGGCTTCGCCCGCGCTTGGAAAGCAAAACGGAAGAAGTGATGTTTCATCGGAAAACCGATGGGTGATGTAGGGCAGTTTGGTTAGCAGAGCAGTGTTAACGGAAGCTTGGCTGATTGATGCTGATTGACACGTGCTTGCACCTTGCGCATGTCATTGCTTTCCTCTCATTGCGTTCCCCCTTTCTGCGCGGATACTGAGCAGAAAGAGAAGTGTGCAGAGAGAACCCGCGATATGCTGCTGGCATACCTCAAAGAGGAAGACCGGGCCCCAAGCCACGCTGAAGAATGAAAACAAATTTTGCTTGCCATGCGCTGCAGGGTTGCGAAGATGAACGTTGGGAATTTACTCCTGTTTTGGCAGCTCTGCACGCGCTCAGTGATTTCCATTGCCTTTTCATTTTGCCTCACCTGTGACCTTTTTTCACCCGGTCTTTTTCATCGGCTGGGCCGATGCAAGGATTTATAAGAAATCACTTGTAAGTCCAACTAACTGAGCTTTCAGCTTGCTGTTGCTTAGGTGCTTGGTTGCGGGAGGACTCTGGGAGCAGATGGGCCCTGGGAGAAGAGAGCGGAAGGCTAGGACGCAAGCCTGCCATGAGATTTTGATGGATTACGCGTGGGACATCCTGACATGTTGGGGGTGTGAATCCCGAAAGGTCTGGATGCCCACCCCAACCATCTGGAGCACAGAGTTTCAAAAAAAGTTGCTGGTCAGGCGTTGCGCGTGCAACGCCTGACCTCAAGAAATGTTATCTGCTCCCCGTAGATGTCTGGATGCTCCACATAGATGGCCCCAAAACTTCTACGTCCGACCAACTTCTACGTCCAACTTCTAGGTCGGGCGTCGCGCGTGCAACGCCGGAGTCCGACGGAATTATCCAACCTACGCATACTGAGTCCGACGGGATTTGTCCAACATAAGCATACAGAGTCTCACGAGGTCTTTCCAACATATGCGTACAGAGTCTTTGCACAAGCATACAGAGTCCAACGCGATTTTTCCAACATAAGCATACAGAGTCCGACGCAGTTTGTCCGCGCACGCTTTCAATATGAATATGGACAATGCGGTACTTGCCTATTCGCTGCTAGAGAGAAAAGGATTCATGCTTCACTGCTTGCCGCATCTCCGCTTCTTGAGGCCCAGCCCTGCATTAAAAGATCTCAGACCCTTTAGGCAGGACCCA